TATATATAATTTTATGAATTAAAATATTTTCTGTAAAAATTAAATATTAATTTCAATTAAAAACTAACTTTTAAATTACTTGAACTTCTTGAACCAAGGAGAAAATTATAAAAATATGAAAAAAAAAATATTATGTTAAATAAAATATTTTTTTAATTTTAAAACACTAAAAATTGAATTAAATTTTTATAAATCATAACTTAATAATTACAATATAAAAATTATTGAAATGTGTACATTAGGTTTAGGATAATATTTTTAACCAACCAGTAAATTTTGAATTTTTTCTGAAATAAATTTAATTATAATTAATTAAAGGCTCATGTATTATTTAAACAAAAAATAAAGAAAGAAAAGTAAGGAAATTCTAAGGGGTCTCCAATTTTCTAAAATTAATCTACTAAATCTTAAGATAGAAATCACACAGTCCAAAATCCTTACTCTCGAACTTCACTACTTCTATAGAAAATATTCGAGAATTCACGACGTGCATACTAGGCATTGTCGCTCTAAATCGTCAACTTATGAACCAAAAATAGTAGAAACCATCTCGGTGTAGTCATGTTGAGAAGCCGCGTAATCATTCCGCCGTTACTGTTTTGAAAGTCCTAGAATGAGGGACCGCGACATAGCTACGCTGCAACATAGCTATGCAACATTGCATAGGTCTTCGTCCACCTGAAACGAGCTGAGCTAAACTAGTTTTCCTTTCAGTTTTAGGTACCTGAGTGCTCAAGCTCCATTTCTCAATACTTTGACCTTTGTGACCTACAAATATTATAGGAACTCACTACTATGATCAAGACAAACAACTACAACCTATGTAGTCTACATCACATATAGCTCCCAACTCTGGTCTTTATGGTCTACGAAAGTTATCACAACTCACCACTACAATCAATGTGATAACTAAGGCCTAAATGGCCCACAACTCCTGCAGCTTCCTACTACAACCTTTTTGGTCAACCGACGATCCTAAGCAACTATCTACGACCTCGATGGATGATTACTACCACCTCTTTCAACTACAACTTCTACGACAAGTTGATGACATAGCCACCGTCTACAACATTCTTGAAGAATTATTGCTTTTACGACAACCGACCACGATTTTTGTCGCCCGTTTCTACTATCATTATCAAACTATCATTGTACATCTACATTGTGATTCTATCTTCTCTAATTTAAGAAGAGAGTAGGTCTATGTACTTATAATTACATAATGAATTATTTCAACTGCACTAGAGTCCATGATTTTTTTCCTCTCTCCAAGGTTTTTCACGTATAATACTCCTGTTTCTTCCTCTTTTTTTATTTGTGTTAATCTACCACTGTAAGTCTTCCTGCCTGCGACAATAATCAAATTCCAACACATTAAAATTTCATTTTTTTTCTAACTGAATTAAATTTTGATTTGGTAGTTTAATTTTATCAAAAATTTTAATTGATTTAATTTTTCAAACTTTATAGTTCGGTTCCAATCAATTGAATTCTTTAGTTTCATTCATAATTCTGGAACCAGAAAACTCCAGCATTTCTACAAGCCACCAGCTTTCCCTGCAACGTGTCGTCCTCATGCACCATGGCTAGGAAAAAAAAAAAACTTCAGATGTAATTCACAATGGCTTCCGCGTGTCTTTTCAGTATTGGCTAATTGGATATTTCGAGTCCTGAAACTTTGTTCCAAGATAAGGTCTTTACAAGTTTAAGCCACAGAGAAAGCTTAATCTTCTTCCTTTCTCATGGCCATAAGGAGCTGCGACTGCTCTCCGGCATACATAACTCATCAGAAATCCTCAAAGCCTCCACTCTCCATCTATCTTTCTCGCCTCTCTTCTGTAACATTTCCTTCTTCTTCTTCTCCTCAAAATCATTTGGTTATCACCTCCAAATCCTCCCCTTCTCTTCTCCAACACACCTCCAAAGATATCCAATTTCCTTCTGGCCCTCCATTTCCCCCATCTCTTCCCTTCCCTGACCTCCAAATTTCTAACGAATCCATTGATAACTTGTGCCAGAATCCCCAGACTGAAGCTCTTGCCTTTACCCACTACCAGAAGGCAGCAGCTCAGCCTGGCTTTCGTTTGAAACCACAAACACTAAGTCTAATCCTTAAAACTCTAGTCAGAAACAAACAATGGAGCTCAATCTCTGCTTTATCAAAAGAAATTCTTTTGCTGGATGGCTTCCCAGATAAGATCACATGCAGTAAGTTAATTAGCAGTTGCATTCGAGCTCGAAAGTTCAAGCTTGTTGAGATCTTACTTGGTGTTCTCGAAACTAAGGGAGATGTTGCAGTCTCAGCCTATGTTGCTGCCATGAATGGCTACAATAAACTCCACATGTACAGAAGCACAGTTTTGGTTTTTAACAGAATGATTTCTCTGAAAGTTTCACCAAATGTGAAGTGCTATTACTTAATCATGGATGCTCATCGAAAGCTGAGTAACACCGATATGGTCCTTTCTCTCTTTCTCAACTTCATTTCTGAGAAAAAAACAAGTTTGTCTGCCTCTGTTCATATCTATTCAGTCCTGTGTGATTCACTGGCAAAGTCTGGCAGAGCCTTGGAAGCCCTTAGATATTTCAGAGAAATGATTGAAAAAAGAATTGCTCCAACACATTCGTTATATGCTTCACTGATCAGCTCATTTGCAGGGATCAAAGATGCAGAGAATGCTTGGGCTCTTTACCAAGAAGCAAAGGAGAAAGGGATGGTGAAGGACCCAGATATGTTTCTGAAACTCATACTGATGTATATAGAAATGGGTATGCCAGAGAAGACCGTTGAGATTGTGGAGGACATGATTGAGATGAAGCTCAAAATTACAGACTGCATCTTTTCCACCATTATAAATGGATATGCAAAAAAAAGAGGATTTTGGGCGTCAATCAAATCATATGAGAAGCTGAAATCTCTAGGATGTGAGTCAGGTCAGGTAACCTATGCTTTAATCATTAATGTTTATTGTCGCCTTGGTCTCCATAGAAATTCTGAGAACACATTTTCTGAAATGCTTGAGAGAGGATTTGACAAATGTGTGGTAGCTTACTCGAACATGATTTCTATGTATGGGAAGAATGGAAGGGTTAGGGATGCCATGAGGTTGTTGGCGAAGATGAAGGAGAAGGGGTGTGGGCCCAATGTTTGGGTTTATAATTCTCTGTTGGATATGCATGGGAGGCTCCTCAATCTTGGGAAGGTTGAGAAATTATGGAAGGAGATGGAAAGGAGAGGAATTGAACCAGATAGGATAAGTTATACAAGCATAATATGTGCATACAACAAGGCTGGAAAGTTTGAGGAATGTATAAAGTTTTATGATCAGTATAAAATGAAAGGTGGGATGGCAGATAAGGTGTTGGGTGGGATTATGGTTGGAGTTTACGCTAAGATTAACAAAATTGATGATTTGGTTAAGTTGCTTAAGGATATGAAAGTGCATGGAGCAAGGTTTGATGGAAGATTGTACAGGTCTGCACTGAATGCTTTGCGTGATTCAGGGCTCCTGGTTCATGTGAAGTGGGTAGAAGAAAATTTTGGCTGTGAGATTGAAAAAACTTGATTAGTATGATGAGTTCGGAATGTATAAGGTTGTAAAAAATTTCATCTTTTTGCAATGTTGACTGATATTCTTTTGCAAAACTGAACTTTGGCTTTGAACTGAGGAAGTTATCAAATGATCTCAGCAAAGAGTTGGGAAGGTTCATTTAGGAATTCTCTCATTTACAAATATGGCTTGGATTGAAATGCTTCGTTGGGCTTTTATCAGAGAAGACAGCAAAAAATGGCAGAGTTTTACTTCAGGAGGTGAATTATACTGTAGAACTATGTTATAATTTTTTTATTTTTGATGTGATATGAAAGATTTGAGTGTTAT